AAAATTAAAACCAAATAAAAGAAAATGTTCAAGAAGCAAATTTATTTTCAGATTCTACATACGTTTCTCTTTTTTTTCCAGCATAGTTGCCAAGATTGTTTAAACACTTATAATACCTTACAACTAGATTTAGAATGCCCTTTTCATACAAACTTGCCGTATGCTTATATTTCTGGATCAACTAGGGGGAAAAAATTGCCTAGGTTTTCATTGGACAACTATTAGAGAGTTAACCATCCTGAACTTACATATATTTGTGTAAGAACACCGAATAACTAAAATTTCCTTCATTTCAAAATTCATCATTACTACAACCAATTTAATTTAAACAAATCTACAAGTAGCATTTGAAATGTAAAGTTTAATTCATTCGGCAAGAACAAGAAATTCTAGCCTTCGAATTTTGAGACAATTTATTAGTATACTTTATCAGAAAGCATCCGAACATTTTGATTTCAGGCAGTTAAAGAGTTAAACCGATTTCAAAGAGAAACATGCCTTCCAACTCTTTCTGAATAATGAATTATGCCACCGAGTCGCCCTGCCAATAAACGTGGTTTTAGTAACAATGCGTCGTATTGTTTTGATTTGCGAAAAAATTAAAAATGTCTTTATCTTTTTAGTACACAATTTGAGCCTAGACTGAGTCACATGAAATAGTAAGATTTGGATTTACAATTTAGGACGGATAAGAGTCAAAATAAGACAGGGTAACTAATGCTAAAAATAGATATTTGTTTTTTTTTTTTTTGTTTTTGTTTTTTCAAATAAAGGGGTGTGAGATTAGTAAACATATAAGGGTTTTTCGCCCCTTGCAAATAAAAGCTTCGCGTGAGGAGAACGAAGATGCTTAGAATGCAATTCGTAGAAAAATCGAAAACAGATGCACAGTCCATCCACAAAAATGAGCTACGCATGGCTGATTTCAATAAACTAATGCATCATACTACCTTGCTTTAAGACAATGCATTTGGAAGAACGAGTATAAAATATTCGCTCGTTAACGACAACAGAATAAATGAAGCCCTTGTATAAATTTACTACAAGAGCTTTTTAAACAAGATCCTTTCGAGGACACTTAAGCCCAGATTAAAGCTCTTACCGCCTTTCATACTCAAAGATACTTACTTCGTTTAAGACTTACCGAGTATTCTAAATCCTGTATAAATATTAAATATTTAAGAGTCCATTTTTTTTTCTAAGTTCTTATTATACATATTTTGTTTCTAAGTTTTATAATTGAAAAAAAAATTTGTTTTGCGCAATATTATATATATATATTTTTTTATAACCGTTGCTGAACAGCCGACCCAATGTTGGGTTTACGAATACCTATGTAACACGACCCAAACGTACACAAATTATAGATTTGAGTACTCGCATTTATGACTAAGATCAGTTCAGTTTCGTTTTGCTCAATATTAAGTAAAGAAATGTTTTTAATCGCATTAAAAAGCTTAAAAAAGTTAAATGATACTGGTTAGCAAGCCTTTAAGTACATTTTAGTTAGCGTGTGTATGTTTAGTAAACGTGTAAATAAACGAATAATTTTAGCTTCTTAACGTAAATATACTCATTCACTTGATAATACTGTTTTTTACTTAATGAACAGCGCCATTAAATCTAAATTTATTCGTTTTACAGTTTACTTTTTGCTTTAAAATGGTATCGTTTACTGTTTCCGATTGATGTATGTTTTTAACATTAACAAGTTTCCATTTTGATGGGGGGGAAAAACCTTACAGATAAAATTCATTGCTTAACTCATAGCAAATAAGTGCACTGTCTGTCCAAGTGCATTTATAAACCGTGAAAGGCATATTTTTATTTAATGTTGCACTAAACGTTTTAACAACAAGAACTTAGATAAGAATTAAATATCCACCCATGCTTGAGTTTATTAGACTTACATATTTAATTTTAGAGCCATCATTTAACAGTCGACCCAATTTTTTTGTGTTTACGACTACCAATGTTCAACACCGTAGCCTTGTAATTTTAAACACAATCCAGAAGACAAGTGAACTCCTGGATCAAGTAGTGGGAGAAATTTACTTTCGGGGAGGACTTTTTGATGGAACTAACCCGCATTTGCGTTACATAGAGAGAGAAACCAAGAAAACCTCCCATGGTAAGCCTGACGGGAAGGGAACTTTAACCCATGATCCGACTACCACTGAAGATATTTTTACGCATGCACTGTGGTCGGTGCAAGCCGGATGCGTAATTCGTGTTGACCAGCCATCGCTGGGATTCGAACCCGGTTCACCTCATTGGAAGACAAGAGCTCTATTCTTGAGCAATCACGGCTATGTTCAATATTTTATAGTAATTATAGATAAACAGGAAAAACTATATTGCTTATATTTTTTTAAGGAAGAAAAGGTGGGCAAAGTTTGATAACGAAATTTTTCGCTAATTCCTAAGACATCATTAAAACAAAATAATAAATATACTAAATTCTTCGCTATTAAAATAACGTAAAATAGTCCCCTTAGCAGCAATGAATAATAAAAGACAAAACATATTTTTTTCGGAAAACATGGGGTTTCGTTTTCAAATTTAAAGCTTTTTAACCAGTAAAGTATGTTTGACCAAACCTTTATTGCAGTGATGCTGTCGTGTAAAATATACCATTGACAAGCAAAACTTGAAATTTCAATAGTAGTAGTACTTTATTTCCGTCTTACTAGAGCTGCAGAAATTGACAATGGGCTATTGGCGATGGTCAAGAATGACATCACAATTTTGATCCTCTACAGTTGTTGTAGTTGTCGTTGTATGGGCTATTGGCGACGGTCTGGGAAACATCCCTGAGGATGATCCGAAGACATGCCATCGCAATTTTGATCCTCTGCAGAAGGGATGGCACCCCCGCTTCGGCAGCCCGACGACCTGCACGCGAAGTCGAGCACTTCACGGTAGCAAAGTTTAACGAGGACCAATACCGCACACCCTCGGTCCCTACGCAGACTGATCCAAGTGCTCACTGACTGCAGCCAGTGATGTTCGGCTTTGATGTTCTATTACAATCAGTCGTCCACTGTGAGATTATTTTACCCACCGATATTATTTTGTGGTATAATATGTTTCCTTTTTTATTACCAATAAAAGCTATTTTATACCGCAGGGTGATGGGGAAGAGGAAGAGGCTATCAAACGTAAATTGGAACTTGGGAAGTGAGCGTTGATTCACAGAAAAACGACGTAAAAAATTAAAATATAAACAATACTGGTCCTTTTCTCTACAACGAAGTCTAGATATTCTTGAATACAAGAATCCAAAATCTTTATATCTTCCTTATTTTCGCCTCGTATTATCCGTAGATTGTATATTTACGTATTTTATTACTTTTTAACAATATTTTAATAAATCTCTAATAGCATTAACCTTTTCAGAAACTAAATGTTAATTTTAGATGAAATCGTTTCTAACTCTCAATATTTTAATTGAAGTTAAAAGCAATCTAGGTAAGCTGCTGTAGGAACGGTGCCATAAACTACATTTGGCTAGTAGAAAGATAGAGTAGAAGGCAATTTGTCATGAGGTAAATACATTTAAAACATGTGAACAAAGACCTATTCTAAGCATGTTCTCGTTGATTATATATCATTTGTAGGAACTTCAGTGTTTTCTTATGCGGGCATCATACATCAATGCTGCTTTGCTTCTGACTAATATTAAATCAAATCTGAAGATTCATTTNTATATATATTTAGAAGATGGCAAACGGGACTTAATAAAGGTCTTTATAAAGGAAGAGTCATACTAAAGAGCATAGACTGCGCTATACTCCTATTAATATAATTTATATTAGTAACATTTATATTTATTTGTCGTATACTATATATATAGAGAGAGAGGGAGAGATTTCGGTATGTTTATTTAACTATCTACATATTAATAAATATAAATATCAAAATTGCGGGATTTTTTTCTTAATTAATTGTAGTTTTAGATGGTTAAAAAGAGTAGAAAGCAATTATGATATTAGACAAAATAAATTTACAGTGACGAAATTACGTTCTAATTTAATGAAATTATAACACTCGATAACAATTTCATTAAATTGTATTAAAAATTTACATTCAATTTCATGAAATCAATCACATATCGCTAAAATTTTGAATGAAACCTTTTTTGAAATTAACATTCTGCGGCATTTATATAAACAAACATTATTTTTCCAAAAATTTAACAAATAAAGGTCTAAAACTTGTAACTAATAATTGCATATAAGAAGAATGTTTCAAACAACTAGAAATCCAAAATTAAATCAAATTTATGATACTAAATAAACATGTAGGGGATAATAATAATTTTTTTTATTTCAATCTCTCAAAAATTGATATTAATATAATAAATTAAACAATTCTTTAATCGAAATTTATTTCTTAAACAGGACAGGTTTAATTTAAAGCGCCCTAAACTGTTAATGTAATAATTCGCTGTTTGATTATACGAATACAAAAACAAATGCGAAAAAGAACTAAGAATGTAACATTATAAGCGAAATATTATTAAAACGCTACGCATAATCCTCGAAAATCCAAGGTCATAAAATATAAAATCTTTGTACAAAGAGACTGAATTTCCAATTTACTTTCATTATTATTCTTAGCGAAGTTATTTTCTCTTAACATTGTTTAAAAGTTTTCCATGAATTCTGAAGTCGTGCTGTCATTGTTAAAAAATAATAAATAAAAAAACCACGTGTGATTGTTTTCATTACTCAGCTGTCACTATGATTTGACAGTCATCAATATCAACCGGAGATTTTCTCTTACCGGTAAAGAAAAAAAAACGATAGGAAAAACAATATATTGTTTTGATTATTTTAAATGAAACTACTTCTTTATATCTATGATAACTAAAATATTTTTCGTTAAAAGAAATCCATTCCTACAGAAAAATATATTTCATTTTTTTATCTATATTTATGTTTGTATATTGATTTCACCACACCTACGGAGAAGTAAGAAATAATAATAAATCGTACTTGATACATGCAAAAAGAACTATTTTGCCGCCATATTCCAAAAGTTGTGTTAGTTATACTCCAAGCTATTTCAGGCATTCTTTTTAGAGGCATTAAAGCCATCACAAAACTTAACACTCACAGACAATAACAAAACTTCACTTTCTGGTTGATATTTCAAGCCACATTTGGCGCACACAAAATCCCAAAATGAACAGGAAGTGCGTCTGCTCTTATTATGGATGCCAGATTACGATTTCAGATTATTTGTACATTAAAAAAAATTCTAACACGACTCAAAAATAGAAGAGGAGAATTTATTTACATTGCTATTAATTTGAATTTAGCTATGGAGTCTTGTAAAAGTAATATGTTTACAATTTAAAGAATATTTATTTTATATTTAATTACTGAAGTATCACCCGACTTAACCGTAACAGCGGATTGTGAAAACCACAACAACAACAAAGCAAATCAGAAAGTTGTAAGTTTTGACAACTGAATTTTATTTTTCTAGTTTCATAACTTTAAATTGTTAACAAAAAAATATTTTTTTTCGACTGCTGAAAATAATAATTTGTAGTAAATTTTAATTTCTTTTAGAAATGTTGAAGTACATAATAGTGTTACGATAGTATTTAAATAAAATAGACATTTTTGACTCTGTGCGTAATCAAATATTAAAAACTGTCTCATAAAATAACTAATTGTTACATATTTCTTTATACGTCCCAAAATCTAAGAAAAATAATTATTGTTTCATAAAATTTTCAAATAATGAAGTCATCATTTCTTGTGTATGATTTTATTAACCTTGATTTCTCTTGATGAATGATGATGTACAATGTTTGTTTCATTTTATTTGAGATTTCTTGTTTTTTGTATTATCTTTGATTTGATATCCATTTCTTTTGCTAAAAAATTCAATCCCAAAGATCTTCCAGTTGTGATTTGGTGGAGCGATTTATTATATCCTTATGAAGCAAAAGAAAAAGAAATCCATTGCTCTAAAAGTAATAAATGTGTATCCAGCTTTAAAAGAACTTATAATAATGATGAAATACCTGTAGCATATTTATTCTATGGAACTGACTTCAAAGGGGACAATTTACCTTTACCTCGTAAATCAAATCACCTATGGGCACTTCTACACGAAGAATCACCATTGAATAATTTCTTATTTTCCCATTCCTCGGGTATTAAACTCTTCAACTTCACTGCTACATTTTCTCGACACTCAGACTTTCCACTCACCACACAGCATTTGCCAAGCTTAGATTACTTAATGCGCAAACCTGTTCCATTAGAAATTAAGAATGAATATCGTAAAAACGGTACCGCTCCTGTACTGTATTTACAGTCACACTGCAATGTGCCTTCTGATAGGGATCGTTATGTTAAACAATTGATGGAATTTATTGATGTTGATTCATATGGTGAGTGTTTGCATAATAAAGATCTTCCAACTCATCTATTATCCACAGATACTCATAATGATGAAAGCTTGTTTCACTTTATATCAAAATACAAGTTTCATTTAGCATTTGAAAATGCTATATGTGAGGATTATATTACAGAAAAGTTTTTTAGAGCCCTGCATGTCGGATCAGTCCCCATCTACAGGGGATCTCGATCCATTGAGGATTGGTTACCGAGTCCTGTGTCTGCAATCATAGTGGACAACTTCAAAGACCCTCAAGATCTTGCAATGCATATTTCGAGGCTTGATGAAAATGACATCCTCTATGAAGAATGTTTAAATTTTAAGAAGGATATAAAAAATATTTTTTTAAAGCAAACTATGGAAAAAAGAACATGGGGTGTCAATGATCCCAATGAATTGGATTTTCTAAGAGGGTATGAATGTCATTTGTGCAATAAATTGTGGTCAGATGATCTGCAGAAGAATTCTGTTGCTAACAAAAGTCATATGAATTGCCCTCAGCCTCACACTTCACTGGACATAGATATCAAAAAATCAATAAAAACTGACCAGTAAGTTAAAACTAATTGTGGGTTTTTCCATATCTATATCTGTTGGTGTAAACTGAAAACTGCAATGTAATAAGTAAAATTGCCTGGTTCTCGTACTTTGAATTAATTTTTAAAAAATTAGAGGTAACTTCAAGTTTTTACTCTTCGAGTTTGCACCATTCTATTTTAGAATCTGGTTTTTGGGGCTTAAGAGGGGATATTTCTGTATCGTGATCTGTCGCACTAACTACAATCGTCAAGGTGCCAAATGCAATTTTTTTTAAAAAAACATGTAGATGTTTGCCCAGGAGTGGCTACAAGCTATACAACGGTAGTTTCACAAATTCAACTTTAGGAAAAACGGTAGTTTCACAAAATACTTTTTCTTAAAATTTTATTTTTGTATCTCTTAAGAAACGATAAATTAAAATTTTTGTGTTGATTTTTTAATATAATTTTTAATTTTTCACAAATTATGTCTAAATTTTCACAAAATAGGTACCTCTGAGAAAAACCTAGACAGACCAGAGTTGGACATTGATTACAAATAATTCTTGTTATGTAATCAATTACTTGTAAGCGCTGCAGGTAATTGCAGATACAAATAATTCGGATCTCTAATTATATCAAATTCGGACAAAAATGTAATCAAGTAATTTTAATTATGATTACAAATTTTTGTTTGAACTATATTCGTGATTACAAAAATCAGTTTTAGTAATCAATTGCTTGTAATTGTTATTACAAGTAATCTAAATATATAATTGCAAGTAAAGATGATTGTATGCAAAGTAAAGCAAGTAAAAACCAACATGTAATTATATTATGTAATACATATACTGTATTGTATAATGATGCATTTTTTACCAATTTACATTCGTATTTACCTAATACTTACGTATGTAAATAATTAGATACATAAATTTTATACTTACCTGTACATGCTTATATTGCATGCATAAAATGTATTTAGAAACGATGTAGATGATTTTCAGTGCACTAAAGAAAAAATTGCCCACCCTGATTAACTTTTGATCAAATGTTTAATCACTAGGGCTCAATCTTAAAAGTTTTGAAGTGGTGGCATAAAATATGCTAATTAATTACTGCAGATGATATTTTTAAGTTACAAAATCAGACTCAAAACATACTTTTTCTGAATAAACAAACCTTTTTTTTTTTTTTTGACGAATTTGGATTTCTGACCCTCAAAATATAGAAGGTTGCCACAATCAAAGAAATATGGTCACTATAGTTTGGCCAGGAGAACAGTCCAAAGTTTGGACCACTTTATGTTAATTTTACTTTTTGCGTATTTCGATATATCCCAAAAACTTTTTAAACAAATCGAAAATTTTGCACATCGTCATAAAATTCATTTTTCCAAAGACAATTCAGTACAAAATATTAATTTTAATAAATATTTTTTATTTTTTATTATTTTGTTTAATAATAATTGAAAAATTTGAATTGTAAAGTATACAGTTTTTTACATCATTTTAAAATGGCAAAATCGGATGAATAGTTTCTGATAAATAGAATTTTAAATAAGCCATATTTTTAGAAGAAATTCCATCAGAAATTCAAATCTGTCAAAAAAAAGGCATGTTTATTCAGAGAAGGTACATTTTCATACCTGAGGTCATAACTTGAAATATTGTCTGCAAATTATTTAGCATATCTGAAATCACCCCTTCAAAATTTAAGATTGAGTCCCAGAATGTGAAGATACAATCATTAGATCAAAATTATTTAGGATGGTCCATTTAATTATTTTTTACGCACTGTACATTTTTACAAAATGTATATTTTTTATGCAAGTGCTTGTGTATGTTCAATGTATATCCGTATTTGTGTATGCATGTATATATAATATACTTGCTTTTGTTTGTACGAACATACATGCATTGTATATACATAGTGCAGTAAAACGATATCACTTTGTCTAACATTCGTTCTAATGATCTGATTTACACATACCAAATGTCAATCTCAATGCCTCCTGGGGGGTGACCTCAAATATACTAATTATTAATTAAGTTACAAAATCAGATACAAAAGCGTACTTTCTCAGAAAACATATTTATATATTATTATATAACATATATATATATTTTGGATTCATAACCGTCAAAACATAAGGGATAGATGAGGATTTGCTACAGTTAGTGGAAAATGCCTCACACAAAACATTTGATATTTATGCATGTCAAAAGAAAATGCTTAAACTTGTATTGCCAGTTTAAGAAATGATTGCTGAAATTGAAGTGATACCGATGAAGACAGAGAAATGGAACCACAACCAGTCTACATTTATGGAAAGCCTTTGAAATGAGACATTTCCAGCATTCACACAAGCTCTGAATAACATTCAATACAGGAAATGAACAGCAATATGAACTAATGTTGAAAATATATTGTTTGCACTAAAACATAATTATTTCACTTAAAATTTTTCATACTTATTGCAAATTTATTCATTTTTAAGTCCATCTTTTTACTCTTTTTCAAGTTTTTATTTTGCGTTTACCTGGATTTATCCTTTTCCCATACCTATTATTCGCTATTTAAAGTCCCGTAAAAAATTATCTATCTAGGTTCTGCTATAAGACTTCTATTTCTTCATAATAATTTGTTAACTTTTGTAGGTGGCTTTTAGAAGAATGGGCTGAAACGTATTGGTTTGCATTGGATCAAGCTAAAGCAATAGAACAGATGATTCAGAATAATGAAAATGATACATCTAAGTTTTGGAATTATATATCAATGAATAAATATAACTAAATGTATGTTTACTTTTGTATTTTTCCTTGAAAATACCTATTCTATTTAATTATTTTTATTATATGTAATCATTATAGTGCTTTCCAGAATATTAGTATGCACTTTCAATAAATTTTTTACATTTTTTTGCTGATTAAGAATGTTAATTCTATTCTGACTTTTGAAATTAAAGAGAGCTCTCACCTGTTTTCAGCAATGAACCAAGTACCTACATAGGGTTTTGGTTTTATTTGTTAAGTTTCAGAGGATAATTGAGACATAATTGTTATCAGAAAATTTATCTATTAAATTACAAACCACAGTTTTAAGTTGTACATATTTTCAAAAAAAATTTGCATACTATTTAAGATATAATTAATTTAATTTTTTGCACAAAAAAATTTTTTAAATTAAATACCTTGCATGCATTAGAACACAAGTCATTCATATAATCTGTTAAAATTAACACATATATACAATTAAAAATATCTAAACATAATTCTGAATCCCCAAAAGAAGGAGATTTCCTAAATTTTGTATTTTTCATTGCCTAATACTAAGATGAAATTCAAAATTTTCTCTACAAATTTACAATTGAAGTCAATACAAGAAAAACTTAGTATTAAATAAAATATTATTAGTTCAAATTACAGACACAGACAGAAATTATGGATGTATAATTTTATTTTATTCCATTCAGAAATTTGGAAAGCAAGCATAAAAAAAAAAATTTACTGTTTTGAGGAGTTTTTTTATTTTTAGTGTTTTATGTATAGATATATTATCAATGGCAAAGCAGAAAATTAGAAAGATAAAAATAGAATTCAAACAGCAGAACTAAGAACAGGCATTGTCTAACATACAAGTGAACTTGCCTCCCTTTACTCAGACGTCTGTGTAGAACCGTAAAGTGCCCCACAACGGGACAGATGATCCCTGTCCATTACTTCTTCAGAAGTACTAAATGAACAAGTAGGATTGGTGGAAATGTTGTGCAGATGAGTGGCAAGGTGTGTAGACGAGCAACTGCACTGCATCTGGTTTATTGGGAATAAGAGGACTTCAGATTTTAGAGCTTTTTGAGTCTGGAAGTTTTGTAAGATGTAAATATTTTTTATTTTTTACAAACAGTTTAATCCTCCAATAGAAGAAGGCTGTATTAGGATGTTGTAGTAAACCAGCACCTCTCTTTTGCAAGGAAATTGGCTGGTTCATTGACCCAAAGAGCAAAATGGCCAGGTAATCACTGGTTTGAGAAAATCAAAAATTAAATTTCAAAATATATTAACAATATAGTATTTGAAAGTTAAAAAATATCATTCTCCAGCTAAATCTGCATCCATTTGATGTGTGAAATGAAATAATTGATTTATATTATATATTCTAAATGCGTTGAAAAACAGCCAATGTTTATTTAAAAAAAACATTTTTAAACCTGTTTAGTCTATTAAAAAAATGTATAAATGTGTTTTAAGTTTAATATGCATGTTAAAATTTTTCTAAATTCTTTTGCCAAATTTTGATTTAATACGTATATTTGTTTTATAAATGTTAATTTAAGACTCTTTTTGAAGTTGTACATCGATTTCACAAAAAAATATTTAAAAAGCAAAAACTAGTAAATATTCACACATCAATACAGGGTATCTGCTACATTTTAGATTTTCAAATTCATGACTAATTCCAAGAACTTTTCATGACTTAACAAAGTTACTATTTTTTCCCGTCAAAAACAGAACAATAAATTTGAAAAGCATTATAATAACATTCATTGAAATGATAGGTATAACCAAAACTGTTATACTCTGCATCTTCATAGATTTTAAATTTAAAAAATAGAGTAAAGAATTGAAGCAATAAAATAGCTGGAAAAAAAAAGCAAATAATTTTTTTTCTTCTGCAGAATTCGAAAGATACTTTCCTCGTTCATCGGAAAGGAAAGAAATACTCCAGATTTTTCCGTTCTCATTTCGGAATTAAAAAAATTCGACGATGACTGGCTTGCTTTAGTTAGAATTTTAAATTAATAAAATAAAGAAAATAAACAAAAATTTGAAATCACAGAAGTTTAGAAGATAATTTGTTCTAGAAATGATGTTTTTTCTTTCATTTTTTGAAAAAACATTTTATATTTTAATAAAATACGACTGCGAGTGGGGATTTTGTTAGAAATTCAGATATTTGAACACCATGACATTGGGGAGGATTCCATATTAAAAATTAGATCAATTTGGCGACCTAAATCAATGACTTTCCATGATTTTTTTAAAACAATAGTTAAAATCATGACATTTCATGACTAATCTTGTTCAATACCGAAATTCATGATTTTTCATGACTTTCCAAGTGAGCAGATACCCTGTCAATATTAATGCTGTATTATCAAGAATATACAACTATTAAATAATGAGACAAATGCTTATAAAAAAACTTTTTTAATCATATTCTGATTACATATGTACACACTAATAAAACAATATCAGAATAACAAATTTTTATTTGTAAAATTACGGCAATTATAAAGAAAGGGAGATTATTCAGGGAAAAAGCATTCAATATTACAATTTAAGTGCAATACATTACTGATGACTACAAACAGGCAGTTAAAAACAAATTTTTTAAAATGAAAATTTTTTTTTTTTAAAAAAAGGAGTCAGCTGCCACACAATGCAAAGCTTCAGTATAATTTTCGTTTTTAAAAGGTATCATGATAAAATTTAAATTATTTTTCTAAAAAAAAAATAGTCATGAGTAATACAGGTTTTAGTTAATTCCTCTTAAATGAATAGTGTATTTTGAACCAATACTGAATCACACATTTCACACTTACCATACTGACTTCATCTTAGAAAACAAACACAACAAAATAAATATTTTTCAAAAGTAAAACACAGCATTCATTTAGCTTTAGACCTGCTAAATTAATGCATATAAAAAAGACAAGCCAAATACAGCTTTTTTTTTCTGTTTGTTTTTTTTTTTTTTTTCACTGAACTCAGCCACAGTCGAATCATTCTTTTGACATGTCTTCTACAAATCATAACCGTATTTCGCAATTAGTATACAAATCCCGTCAGATGAAGGTTTTCAAAACTACAATAACACTCAATAGTATTTTAATTTTTCAAAAGTTTAACATGGGTGATACACCTACCCTTTCAATATTTTGATCCATTTTAAAACTGACAATTTATATTTTAGAACCAAGTAAAGTTTAAAGAGAGTAAGAAAATTAAACAAAAATTATTTTTTAAATAACTGGAACATTAAAAAGGTGGATTTTATTGAAGAACAAGTCATTGAAAACAAATTCTTTTTAAGAGAAAACAATTTTATGCCAAATGCTTATTAAAACAAACATATTATTCAAAAACAAGGTTGGTAAATATCATACTTTCTGTTTAAAAAAAAACTTTTTTTTTCATCATATTTTCTTGAATTTTTTAGTTTTCTAAGGCAAAGAAAGATAACTCTTACCTCTAAAAAAAGTATAATTATTTAATATTATTCATAAAAAATTTTACAGCTAAAAAATATAATGTTTTCAACTAAAATTTTTTAAATTATTATTTAATTACTATAAATTAACCACTGAATAAAATCATAATTTTTATTCAAGCTCAGCACCCTCATGAATAGTACCTAATTAAATTTATTATTTAGATACACTAATAATATACTTTATAAATTTAAAAAATACTTGTATTTAAATTAATTAAATCTAAATACATACCTATTTAGATTTAATAGATTGAAATATGCTTACTAAAAGCAAATTGTTTGATACACAGACAATGGAATATATAATTTCAAAGTTTCTTGCCATTTTTATTTAGATTTATCAGTTTACTTATTGTTCTATTTTTAACATCAGATAATAATTTACAATACATTACTGTTTTAAATATTTCTCTGGATAAAACCATCATAATCAATAAAATTAAGACTTCCATCTTAAAAATAAACCCATATATTATATTGGTGGGGGAAAATGTTTTTGTCTTAAATTGATGCAAAAAAAAAAAAAGTTTATTTAAACTAATGATGTTCTAAAAAAAGAAACATTTATATAAATCATGCCAACCCTGTTTAAAGAGCAGTAAAAAATTAGTTTTACACGAATGGTGTTAATATAAAGACATCGTATTTTTCAAAATTTTCTCCAGTCATCAAAATAGTTGAAAAAGCAAAATGTACCTCCATACTTATCTTAATATTAAAGGTGTCAAAATACTATTGAGAGCTTATTTAGAGGGACTATACTAATAACGAAATATACAAATGTGTACTCTGACTTGCAGAACCATCACAAGTTAAGTTGTTTAAGTGTCGACATAACACGTTTTCCAGTAAAGAAAGTCCTTGCTAAATGACTTGGGAAATTGAACGTCCGTCTTAGCAAACGGCCGACGCTTCTGGCAGGATCAAAGACGGAGTATCGTCCACTGGCGACTAGTTTGTACAGAACCCTACATACGGTGGGCGTGGCAGTCATAGACTAAGACAAAAGGAAAGAAGTGTGTCTATCTACGATGACCATATGGATTTGCAGGTCCATTAGAGGCTGCTTGATCAGATTCATCTGGACAATCTTCATCTATTGCACCATCTGAAGACACAATTTATGCACTCACTTTTTGATTGAATAATAAAAATTTATTATGTTTTATATAATTATTCATTTCAAGAACTCCTACAACACTTAAGAGAAATAATAAAGCCACTACATGTTTACTACTTATAGACATAATTAGCAATATTTCTTTGGACTAAAATGACAATAATTCTTTCTAGAAAGAGAGATTTTTGGGACTAATTCTTTCTTAATTTGTATTACAAGAAAATCTGAAATTATAAGTCAAACTTAACACTTTCTTTAAAAAATAATAATAATAATTATTCAGTATAAAAATATTTCACAGTTGAGAGAGCTAAAAGGTACTTTTAACTAAAATATTTTAAGTTTCATTTTTTGTTCACAACAATCAAGCCCCAAAACATGCTCCATGCATAAAAACTTACAAAAAAATGAATGGAAGTCTTCAAATTATCTGTAAATGTAAACTTAATTTCAATACAAACTCTATTTTAATTTTTAAAATCTTATAAAACTAAAAAAAAATAAATTATTAAGTGAAAAGAATTTTAATTGGAAGACAGTGAAAGAAATTTTGCATGAAATTCTGATTTAAAAAAAATTTACCAGTATATAATTGATAATTAAATAACATATTTTACAGAAAATAATAATTATCAAAGGCATTGTTAATGTAAATCATATCATGCATAATAAATAGAAGTAATTAAGGAACATTACCAGGCTGAGAATTGTGGTGAGCAGTAATTGGACGGCCTAATCCTAGTGTATTGTGAGTCTGCTCATATTCCAATACTTCATGGTATATTAGTTCTATAAACAATAAAAATACTTCAGGACACAATATGACAACAATCAGATTATCTTCCCTTTTGTTCAAAAACAATAAAAAGAAATTTTATTGTTTTTAGAATTTTTCATTGTTAAATTAAAAAATACAATTTCAAAAAAGATTAATTATATACTACTTTTTTCTTTCAATAATCTGACATTTTACAGATTACAGTGCTATGAAAAAATAAAGTGGGCAAGTACAAATGTAACTTTTCTGTTCAAAAATTATTCCTTTTATTTTTATTAATAACTTCTTTTAAGAAAAAATAAGTGAAACGAATGCAAAAAATTTTCAACATCAAAGTTTAATTTATGTACCACAGCAATAAACAGTTATAATGAAAATTAAACTGATTTATTAAATGTTAAAATGCAGTGACCTCTACTAATAAAATCACTCAGGGGTAGCAGCTAAGTTTTTTAAAATTTTAGGGTAATTTTAGGAACTTTTTTCAAAAAATTTTAGGTAAATTTTAGGGGTAATATATGATTTTGCTAGGATAAAAACAAATCACATGGTAGTTTATTACATAACAGAAGATTATTATAATTCATCCATACATATCATAAATAATTGCAGGCCATAAAATAAAGCTCTCAAATTTATGAAGTCAAGGATGAAAGCTCCAAAGTGTAAAAATGTAATTTCAACTTTACATATTACCTATCAAAAATTAAGTGCATAATTCAGGAACAGGCAAAAGTGAGAATAAATCAGGAGAAAAAATAAATTAACACCAACTTGGAATAATTAAATATACTTCATTAAATTGAAAACAATTCGTAAATTAAAATGCAACGCCAAATAAAAAATTAAGGAATATTTGACTAAAACTTTACGAACTTAAAATTATTATAAGCGATATTTCAAATCAGCAATTTATATTAGAAGTTAGAGAAAGCAAATTAATTATGATCATTTTGCTAATATATTCTTGATGTGATTTGTGAGATTCTTTTACTGCCCTCAATAGTGTTGTGGTGATCTTCAACACTCCTCCTTATTATCGAATGGTATCTTTGATTAGTCTAAGAGACATAATAGTATTCTCATCGTGACTCACATTAAGCATTGCTTTATTTATCGAAAAACCTCTCTCAGGATCAGAATTCCCATGTGGAAAAATTAAAACAATTTTAATTAATGTAGTTATATTCTTATATTTTAGATTATTGCTTTTCTATTTATATATAGCCTATAACTCTAATTTTTTAGGAACATCAACAAAATTTTATTAGATTTTTAGGGTTTGCACATAGTTTTAGGAATTTTATGAATTTTAGGGGGAATGCGACCCCTGAATCACTGAATTATAAAATCAGCCATTTTTGAAATTCAAATCTGCAAGAACAGAATCATTACAATATCAAAACATTTAAAACCATTCATTAATTACAAATCATTAGCACTGTACTAGAAAATTGAAATCAAGCTTTTTACATTTAATGTGATAAATGGCAAAATGCCTAATCAGTAAGATTTGAATTTCAATGATAAAATCAAAATGTGTTTGAATTTCTCATTGACGCTTGATGTAAAAGTTATAAAAACTTTCAAATAATAGCATATTTCTTAAATAAGGAAAGTAACTTCTCCAACCAGCATCCATAGACGATAGCTCTTTGCTTATGGACTTAAAAAAGAAATCGTATGACTCTTTCAAAACTTTTCTAACCCCACATAATAAGCTTTAAAATATTTAATTCCCTATTTCTAAACTGCCTATCTAGCCTTTTCCTCTAGCACTGATCCTGATACTGGATATTTGTTTTCAGAAAAACCATGTATTAATTTTCACTTCCATGGTTACATTAGTGTTTTTCGATTTTTGAAGATGTCTGCAGCCTGAGTTTTTCCAATTGTAAAGTGTTTTGCCGATTTTCGGAAACTGCAATTCTGATGTTTGGAATACTCTAAAATTGCAATTTTTTCTTTTAAGGTTAAAGCTCAGCAAAGCATTATTGAATAAAAGGAGATTTGTTAAAAATAAGATATAAAATTTTTAAAAGGATCTTTAAAAAATTTTATCTCAAATAATTTTTTTAAATAATTTCATGGTCAGGGAGATGTAAGAAATTTTATATTGTGATATATCATTTGTTAGAAATTGCAATATAACAGAGGTTTGAATATTGTTTATTTTAAACAACACAATTAGAAATTAATCTAACAGAAATAAAAAAAAGAAAATGTTTATGCTTTTGTAACATTAATAACATTGCTGAATGTTTTTAATTTAAATAAAAAAGATATGGTTTTAAAGAGATTGAAAATTACATTTTGGAGCTTAAGTAACTATCCGTGCCCTGTTGCAGGAGTGCCTGCTTTGCAGAGAAGATACATAATGGTTTAGTCAGAAAAATCTCTGAAAAAAGAAATTTTCGATTTGCAGAAGCGACTGCAATGTGAGGTTTCACTGTAATTGGTTTTGAATTTTTGTAGACCCCTGACTGTTTAAAAACTTAGCTCAGCAGATATTATATTTTTTTGATCAAATTTAAAAAAATTAAAAGCATGAAAAATCAGCATGAAGAAAATAAGATAATGCTAAGAGCAATTAAAGAAATTTTAAATGCTCAAATTATGTTCAATTAATGCCCTCTCCAACCATTCTTAGATAAAAAGACATATTAATAGAATAAGATTAAATTGTATTACTCTTTAATTGTATCCTTTCAAAATAAAAACAAAAAAAAAACATTTTTTTAACCTACCTTTCCACTGCTCAACAGTATGCTCTCTTTCATCAACAGAATGGTCATATGGCCCAGGTGCAGGCTGTAAAATAAACAATAAACATCAATCAAAATGTAATAACAAATCATTTCAGTTCCAAAGGACAGAAATAAAAACGATTGAGTTATTTATTACAAGTCAAATATATATATATATATATATATTTAAAAAAAGCCAGGACAGTTTAGTTCCGTCACATGTATTTCTTATATCATTTCTTTTTTTCTTTAAATCTTGTTCAAACATGTTTCTCTGTCTCTATCGGTTAAAGCAATGGTTTCAAAAGGTGTTACAGAGATTCCCTCCATAATATTTTTTCACCAGCAAAGATTTTTGAAATTACATACCAAACAGTATAATCTATTATTTATTTAATATTACAGTTATTTGTATGAATCCATTATTTATTTAATATCACGGATTTTAGTAAAATGCTAGTAAGGAAAGAAAAAAATAGAAATTGCAAAATTTAATTACATAGATATGTATTTATTTTTTTTATATTAAGGTATTGAACAAATTATGAAAAGAACACACATTTATAAAAAAAAAAATTTCACACATATTCCTGTTGAGGTTTTCAAATTAAAATAATAAATTCAACAATAAAGAATTTATTTTATTTTATTTTTTTTTGCTAACTGCACTCAATGTTTATAACAGTTCTTTTTAGCTTTCATTTTAACGAAACCATAAGTCAGTTAATTTCAATATCACTTTCAGCTTATTATTAATGTAACATTATTTTCACATTATGTATACAACATATACAAATTAGAGCTAAACTATTTCTGATAAAACAAAGGAAACATTTCATTCCTCACATTTAATACTTACAAAATAATCGGTAGTCTTATTAGTCAATGTCTTTTAAATTGGAGGCAAATTTTATTTATAAAGCCAGGGCAGTGCTAAAAAAAAATTATGATTTAGGGTTCCTAAGCCGCTGGGTTAAACCACTTTGTATGTATTTGTCTCTTTACTATCATCCGGTTTTTAAACACAGAAGAAAGTTCTTATTTGTAGATACAAAACTATAGTACGTTCATTACTGCACTTTCATTAATGCTTATTGTTGTTTTTGTTTTTTTTTTTGCTTAAGTTAAGCACAAAGTATGTAATATTCTTTTTAACGGGATGCGCTTGAAAAAAAAATCAGTTTGAGTTTTCACTTTTTTAAATTTAGTTTCAATTAAAAATTACAGATTTCCAGCAAAGATGCCACATTTAGAGATTTCATTGGTTCATCAGATATTTCAAAATATCAAATATGGTTCTTTTTTTGGTTCATAAGACATTTCATGACATCAAAAATGGTTCTCCAAGTAGAAATTTATGATTAACTAAATAGTCCTTGACTACAAAATCCCTGATTTGGAGGAAAGTTTTGAGGGTTGAGTGCAAGTTGCGCATGGCTTCAACTATTCATACATTTATTAGGAAAATGCCTGATAAAATACTTTGGTGACCTGAGGACTTCAGACTAGACAAAAAAAGTTTGAAAGTTGGCAGTTCTGTATAAACTTCAGAGAATAAACATTTACTTTTACTCAATGAAATTCGGGGTTTGCCAAAGTGGGCTCTGCACAAAAAAAAACCAGTGGATAGTTTCAGAGTGGGCCCACTTGAAAATATTTAATCGTTAAACCAAGTGGGTTATTTCTAAATTTTACAAGCTGAAATTGCATTTCCAATCAATATTATCAACTGATTATTTTATAAATTTAAGTTGCAATTATCAACTGTTTATTTTATAAATTTAACTTGTTTCAGACTATTATCATTATTATTGTCTTTTTCTTTCTTTTTTTGTTTTGTTCTTAGACTATATTTCTTTACTAGTCTGATTTTCCAAAGCGAATCTTAATAAAAATGTCTGAACTAACTAGATAAAAGAATGACACACGTAATTAAAAAGAAAAAAGATACTTCATGAAAGTAATATAATACTCACAGCATTCACTTCACTCTCTTCGTACCATACATTAATGTAAGGGTGCAGAAGAGCATCTTCAACAGAGATCCTCCTTTCCGGGTCTATGACGAGCATTTTTGATAGTAAATCCCGAGCTTGGCTTGCTGTCAAATAGAAACAAACATTGGTATCAAATATAATACAGCAGGGAGACTCACTTGGAAGATTTTTGCAGACTTTCATGGTTTAAATGAGTGCATTTAAAAATACATCCAAGCGTGCGTTTATGCATTCAACAATTTTCGTAGATAAGAATTGTTAACTTTTACAACTAAATTTGTGTATTTTTTCGTACCATAAAATTCATATTACGCGAAAAAACTCTACTTATAAAATTTATAATTACATTACCATGATTTTAATTTTTGTAACATTTAATTTAAATTATAAGAAATGCTTGTTTAATAGAAAAATGGAAACAATAAAATTATTTACAACAAACACTGATTAAAAAAGCATTGAGAATAAGGAAATAAATTATAGAATCACTAGATAAGATTTCCTTTTTTAAAACTGATTACATAAAAAGTTTTAATGCCTAATAATGGACTAAAACACACACAACCAGTATAAATGCGAGTGAATATCGTACTGCTAAGACTACAAGAATTTCCTGAAAACATCCAGGATTCCCGGTTATTTTAAAATTTCCTGAAAAATTTGGTTTTCCCTGTATACGAAATATGCTTAAGTGAGTTACCAGTCAATTATTCATATGAGAAATTTCTTTCTTTCAATTAATTCAATATCATAATTCAAAGTTCATACTTAAAAAGAAAACATATGTTTATAATATATAAAACATATTTGATTAAGCATACACGACTCCCACGAAAACTCATCAAAAACATCAATAAAAATCTAAACTAACTACTGAAAATGAAAAGTTTCAAAAGTAAATACCAATAAGTGTAACAACTACCTTTAAGCCTATTATGTTCTGAGCTATCGGCAGGAAATAAAACATCAGGAAATAGTCTTTCAAATGAATAGCCGGCATATTTAGGCCTATTTTCTACATAATTCCGTACGGTCGGTTGCAAGCGTTTCATGAATTCTGATGAGGGAGTCCCAAGCTGCTCAATTATTTTATTCCACTGATCGATATCTATAAACATTAGGTTAAAGAACATTTCAAAACGAGATTATTTACGCAGAGGCATCAACTTCCAAACCAGCTATCAGTAAATCAGAAGTACAGAAACAAGTTAGCAATAACAAAATTCAAATTAATGCAATTTTGCATTAATGCATACACAACTTATTTTTTTATAGGCACATAAAATTTTAATAAAAACTATACATAAATTTACTCTAAAATAATAAAAAAAGTAATACTTAGATAAATATACTAAATTAAAAATTATACATCACTGAAATTTTATACTTCACTATAAAATTAAATTGATTGCTTGGAATAAATGTTCAATTTCTGATTAAATTAGAACTAGCCTGTTTATTATAGTGGGATTCGACTCTAATTTAGGTGGTTTGATTAACTAACTATTCGGTATTTAGTCACGGAATGGTTCCTTTCATTAAACATTACATCTTTCGGTAAGAAATCAAGACAATAACTATTTAAGGGTAATAGATATAAGAAATTTAAAGTAATCCTGAGCCTTATGAACCAAAACTCAACATGTGAAAACATATTTCCTTCAATGCAGGAGAACATAAAAACTGTTGAATCAAGACAATGTCTAAATTAGATGTTCAAATATTATATTACACATGAAATAAATTTTAAAAAATCTGAGTGAGAGGGAAATATAAAACTTGCGAATTTTATGCTTCAAGAAAACCAGCAGTGATACATGAAAATTACATCTAAAAGAGAAACATTGCACCTGATACAATCCTCTGTTTAGCTTTGATCTAATAACTCATTTCAATGTTATTTTATTATACATTTACGAAGTAATATCAAATAATATTATTGCTCGAATGATGTAAAGTTTTTTAAAAAATAAAAAGATAATGCACTATTGAAGAAAACAAATAAATAATGAATAGAATAAATGTGATTTAATAGAATAATAATAATTTAAAAGGATACGATCAGTTCCAGGGAATAAAACAGTGCCTCTAATCATTTCACCCATAATGCATCCCACTGACCAGATATCCACTGAAACAAATAACAAAGTGTCACTCAAAAACAAAAATATCAGCAAAAAAGTAGCCATTTTAGAAAATAAATTTAAATAAATATATCAAATTCATAAGTTAATGACAAAAGCAAGCAAATAATTCTTTTAAGAAGATTATACTAAAAATATACATAATAAAGATATACTAAAATTTTAGTACAAATACAAATAAAGATATACTAAAAATTTTAGACAAAAGACTCCAAGAAATATAAAATAATTTTATTATTATTAATAAAAAAAGCTAATGGGAGAGAAAAACGTTATTTATTAATACAAAAAAATAATAATAACAATCTTGTACACACATAACTTCTTTCCTTAAATTGTAATAATTTAAATGCATATAGATAGATAAGAGGATCTCCTGATAAAATCAATCTGAAAATTACCTTAAACCAGAGTTTTAGATTTAAGCGCATTCACCTGCTTTGTATGAGAAAATACTTATGTTTGCAGTTGCAAGCATAAAATGCTATGTCTTGTCTATGGTCATATGAGGTTTTGTTATAATCTGCATTTTAAAATAAATGCATCCATAGATACAAATAGTAATTGTTGGTTTAATTTATTCAGTTCAGTACTTTATTTCATTAGATTTAACTGTTATTTACAACAACAGCAAAAAAAGTACAAGTGGATAATTGTTGAAATAAAAAATTAAACTTTATTTTATTATGTTTTTTTAGTTCTAATGCATGAAAATTTTTATCCTGCGTCAGGACAGAAGCCATATCAGCCTTCTTGTAACTGGGCTGCCGATGAATGAAAGTTGTCAAGAGTTCAAAAAAGAAAGAAATTTGTGTCCATTTTTGCAAGGAAAACTACTTTTCCACTGGGATATTGCATGGAAAAACAATTTTCCCCACTTTATGGCCTCAATGACATTAGAGTCCACAGGAAAAGCTTCCTCAAGAAGTTTTTCACAATATTAACACCCCTGTTGAGTTTTTGTCACAGAACTACCGTGTAAATATAGAGCCATTCATCTCTAGAGTAATTGGTCAGGATTATCTCCATAGAATTAACCAATTAAACAGTCACAATAGAAGAAATGGTAATTGTTTTGATTGTTTTTTTTTTACTTTTTGCCTTTTTATAGGGTGATTTAAAACAAAACAAAAAATAACTTATAGAACTAACTAAAAGAAAAAATATCACTGAAAATAACCTCATACTCTGCTAAAACAGTTAACCCAATATGGACTGACTGTTCCTGCATTTTTGAACCAGAATTTTAGTCACCTAAATTATCTAAATTCAATCTTTTCTGATTGTTGTTAAAAATTGTCATAAAATAGTTTTCTTGAAATTTAGAGATTTGACGACTGACTCGACAAACTCCTCATCAACTACAAAAATTTGGAGCATGAACCATTTTATTTATAAAGATATTTTCATAAAAGTGAAAAGTTAAGAGATTTTTTAAATAAATGTTAAGTCTTCTGGTTCTGATTTTTTAACACTATTTTCTTTTTTAAAAAAATAAAGCATTGCACTACGAACTATGTAATTTTATTACTCGCAGGACGTTACTTCTGACCACTGAGAAAAAGATAGGGTCGCCATGAAGAACAGCAATATGGCTGTAGAGGAGTGCAGCAAGAGTCAGAAACTTTGTTATTCTACATTTGCACAAATTTTTTGAATCATTAGGTTTGGTGAGACTTACCATTTTCCTTATAACCCATTCCCAAAATGACTTCAGGAGCTCTGTAATACCTGGTCACAACATAGGGCGTCATCATGAAAGTGGTCCCAGCTGTTCTAGCTAAACCAAAATCAAGAATCTTAAGGGTGCAATCTGCTTTCACTACAATATTGCTCGGCTTCAAATCCTAAATTCAAAAATAGAGCTCAATTAGAAAATATAATTCATAAGAAAGAAAGACTCAGAGCTAACAAAGAACAAAACAGTTAATAAAATAACAAATAAAAAAAATGGTTGATGAAACACTATTTCGGGACTTTCAAACACACAGAGGACATTCGTTGATATTCAAAAGTACAAATTTAACCAGCTATGGGAAAAACTTAAAGTAATTTTTTTAAGATAATATTTGTATTAGTTATCACAATTTAGCTTGTAACCATAAATATTTACATCTGAGTCTAATGATTAAAGAGGCATTAATATTTTTAACAACATAGTAAGCAGCAAAATTAAGATAACATAAATATACATAATTTACCTAGATAAGTATTAATTTTAAATTAATTTATTTAGAAAATTTTACGTCTATTTTTGTAGTTTAGAAAAACAAAGAAAACAGAAATACAATTTAAAAAGAAATTATTGTAATAGTAGTTATATAGATTTTACAGATACAGTATGAAATCAAAATAAATATGAAAACAGTTATTTCTTAAAAACGTCTAATGCGAAAAAAATTACATTTTTTGCAAAATATTAAAAGTTTGTTAGTTTAAACTTTAAATATTTTATAATACTTTTTTTAGCAATTTTATATTGGTCATACTAAGCATTAATATATATTTTATCCAGTTTCTTCCTGCCTTTCGGAAGAAGTTTGAACCTTATTTTCTTTTGCTTAAAACACAATTTTTCTGGTATTCTTAATGATGTTGAAATTTTCAGGAAATGTTCTTTATGTTATATGTTTGCAAAAACTAAACTTTATGCTGCCTTTAGGGGAGCTGTATTCTTTACTGAGAAGACAAAACTTTGTTGCTGTCTAGACAAGTGCTATATCGTTTCTGATGCAATTTTCTATGCTGAATCCCTATTCCAGCCTTAAAAAAATTAAATACTGGATCTTAAAGATTACGAGGAAGGAGATTTTATGTACAGTGCGCAAAATAAAAAACTGACCACACTGAATAACTTTTCAACTAATGATCAGGTCTTCATGCTCTAGAACTGAATCTTAATGGTTCGAGAGGGTGACTTCAAATATGCTAATTAATAAGTGCTCACGATATTTTAAGTTACGAAATCAGACACAAAAACATACTTTTGTGTTTGATTAACATTAAACATACCTTTTTTTCAACGGTTTTAGACTTATGTCCCCAAAAATATAGGTAGATGAAATCTGGGAAATATGGGTCCCAATAGTTTGGTCAGGAGAGTGCTCCTAAGTTTTGACCTCATAATAATAATTTTACTTTTTGCATATTTTGCTATATCTTGAGAACTTTTAAGGCGAATTGAAATAGCTTTACAGCTAATTATAAATTTCGTTTATCCAAAGATAACAGTGTTCTAAGCTACACAGGCTCTTCCAAAATTCAATTAACAAACACAGTGGAGGCGATAAAAATCTAACTTACCATAGGATATAGGGTAATGAAACTTCATTTCTTAAGTGTCCACTATATCATCACAATTACCTTTATTGCCAAAATAAAACTATTTATGATTACCATTTAAGCTTTATATGTAAAAGGTGATTATAAAGCATAAAATAATAATAAAGTAAAACAGCAAAATATTACAGAAATCTTAAGAATTGCTCTAAAGTTTAGAAAGTCGGCTAAAAGTCGGAAGAATCTCCTGCCTGTTAAAAAAAATACAATTCAGGTGCAAAATGCCATTTAAAAATAAATTCTGCCTAGACAATTAGTGAAATAAATGTTTGCGTTGCTGAGTGGTCTATTTGAAGAGGGTGGCAATTAGAAACTATTTCTGCAGACATGTTTTTTTCTTTCTTTACTAAAATTCATACACTTGAGGAGCCTTTTTTTTGATTTGTGGCATCCTTAATGCTATCCATTTATCAAAAAACAAAATCAATATTAATTTTCCTTTAGAATAAAGTAAAATTCTCACTCTGTGTATAATTCCAGCTGAATGTAGATGTTTGATTCCACAAAGCATTTGATAGAGCAAATAAGACATTCTTTCATGATCTAGATCCATTTGTATAACTTGGCACAAATTGGCATCCATCAGTTCCATAACAAGATAACTATAAAAACAGTAATTATTATAAACATTGAGAAATTTTTAAGTACACTCTTAAAAAAGTAATAATAAATTTCACTCCCCAATCAGAGGAAGCATAAAATTATTAACTATTAATGTCACAGTATTTTGGTCCACACCAGGGCCAAAACTACGCCAGGGCAGTCTAGGGGACACCCAAATAAGGGCGCTTTTTCATTACACGACACGATACCGACAAAATCGAACGACAAATTTGTGAACGACAATGTCGTTGCCGGATCGTTTAAGCAATTGTTTTTTCACTTGTCCGATATCGTTAGTCCGAGAAGTAGAAATTCTTGTTCATTCAATGTTTTGAGCTTGAGTGTGTAGAGACATAAAATTTAAATAATTTATTTGAACGTGTTTTGAAAAATTATAAGTTTTAGTTTTGAATTCGTCTTGGCAACGGAGTTAGATACATAATAAATGTTGTTGTGTTCTAAAATGTTTAAGAAATAAAATATGCTATTTTTTTGATAAAATTATTGGTAGTATCGTAAATTGGCGTTCATTTAATTTAGTTGACACTAAGACTCAACAAGTGAGCAGTTGCTTGTGTTCTGCTGTGATTTTTTTCTGCAAACTTTAAATATGCCGGATGATAATCGTCGTCTCAAACTTCTTACTTTATTTTAGAAGAAAAAAGCTAGCAGTGCAGAAACGTTTTTGGGTGCACGAAATGGTACTTACGTATTAACGCCACAGCAGCTACAGATTTGGCGGTTTTTAAGTGCCGCCAATCTACACTTAAAATTATGTCTGTAATCACTTAACATTACTTAAATTCTTTAAATGTTTTCAAGTATTAACGTTTTTTTTCAAATCGAATTAAAATATTAGTTTCATTTAGAATAATCTTTTTAGATGATTTTTTAAATGAGTTTTATCAAATTTATCTTATGAAGCCGTTCTATCATGTTTCAGTTGAATCAGGGAACAGACTTTATATTATTCAATCAAGCAGAAACCAGTAGTTAGATCGAGTTCTGTTTGAAATACATCAGGGTCTTTATTTGCCTTTTTATCAAACCATTACTATTATAAAAAATACCATCCCTTCATTAAAGCATATAATGAATTTATAAAAAATTTCAATGAAACTTTTATGATTGTTTACGTCTTTCAACCTTATTATAATGTAAAAAATACAACTTCATGAAATTAAAAATTTATAACCAGACATGAGAATAAATTATATAAAACTTTTATTTTCGAATTTTACATTTGACATGATCTAATAAAATATTAAAATTGATTAAAAGAATAAAATAATGATATTAAAAGAGGAGATAAAACAGGAAAGATACACAACAACTAATAAAATCGCCACGATTTGAGGAGAAATTTGCTTACCAAACCGACATTTGATTCCGACTAACGATATCGTCTTGTCGGATACGACATAATCGTTATCGTATCGGTGAGTGAAAAAGCGCTCCGTTGCTGACCATGTATTTTACTTGACCCTATGTCGTTCGCCGACAATCGGATCCGTTTTGTCGTTATCGTGTCGTGTAATGAAAAAGCGCCCTAAGGGAAAGGCATTCTTTCAAAATTAAGATGTTTTAATAATCATTCTTTCTGTCAGTTAAGTTAAAAAGAAACTGCAAGGAAGGAACTACTAAAAAGATTTTTTTTATTTTGTAGTTTTTAGGTTAGATTAGGGGTGAACAACATTTTTGAGTGAAGGTCTACTTGCATAGCAGGTTGACCAATGAAGAGTCACATATATATTTAGTCTTGTTGGTGGCAAATATGATAATTTTTATATAAATTTTAGTGTTCTAAGCATATAATATTCGCCTGGTACTAATTATTATATTATTAAATGATATTGGATAGTAAAAAATATTAAATGCCAAATTTATTGAGGTATTTCATTTAATTAATTAATATTTTGGCTGTTTTGAAAACAATGAGTTATTGATGTTAAAACCAAGGAAGCCCCACCAAAAATGTATGCCCCAGTACCATGAATAACGAAGTTACGGCACTGTTTAACGTACTTAGAAATCGCTCTTAATGGAAAAAAAGAAAGAAAGAAATGGAAAGAAAAAAAAGAAAGAAAAATTAACTGCTTAAAACTTTTACTTTCCACATAGTTATCATGTGAAAAGGGTGGCATAAAATGATTCTAATTCCCTTAAGGGATTTAGGACTAGGTTAAGTTTAGGAACCTCTCGGTTTAAATACTTAACTGCATGAGTATACAAAAGTTTGGTATATTATTAGCAGTACTTTGTATTACTAATTTTATACAAGTAGCATGGGAATACAAAATTTTGAAAAATATATTAAAATATTGATTTAACAATTATTTCTGAGTCCTAACATTCTACTGCGGAATGAAATAACATGATTTAAATTAGTAGCAGGTTGAGAGGTGCACAAAATTTGAATATTTAATACATTTCTTATTTAATACATAAAAAAAATATATAAAAGAAGATAGTAACATTTACACAATTTAAAAATCAATGTGCCATTATGATGCAACCAAATTGTGCAGCTATTAATAGTCATCAAGAGTTATAAAACATATCATTCTATAAACTATTTTTTAAAAAAAATAATTAAGGAAAAGGGAATGGAAAAAAAACTTACACGTCTTGAAATTCCTCCATAGTTTTTTGAGGTGTAAATGCATTCAGAAGACCAATTATCTGCACATAAAAAATTTATAAATGAATATAGAAGTTTTAACAAATTTAAATTAAGTTAATTAAAAAGTGCTGAACTTACTCTAATTTTTATCAACTTTCTTTAATTTAATTTTGGTTTTAAAAAAAAAATTAAAAACTGGTATTATGGATGTAACACAATATGTTACATTTATAACAAGTTTTTGAAATTAATTTTTTTTTTAAATTTTTAAAATAAGATATGTTAATAGTTATATGTATAATGGTAATAAGATATGATTATATGTTTTTAAAGTTTATAAATACAACATTCGTAAATGGTAAAATGGATCTATAGTTTAAAAAGAATAAAATATTATTTTAAAAAACTACCATTACTTTTTCTATTCCTTAAATAATGAAGAAAAAAAATACAATGCCAGGTATATGGATGCCATCTGTGAAACAGTATCAGTGATTCAGCTAGACACCCAGACTTGTAAATTTCTGGGTCCTTTTTTACCTTAAGTGGGTCCCAATTTCCTAATATAAATTTCCCAATTAAAATAATATAAATCCTTAATAAGAAATAAAAAAATATGCATGAAAGTTAAATATTTTAAGATTACGATAAAAAAGAAATTAGCCATTGATTCAGTAATATTTCAACAAAGGAAAAATTTGCACATCAAATGTCTTCTGTTCAAAAGCAGGTGATTTCTTTCAAATTTAATAAGAGACACGTCTTTTTCACAAGAGTATACATATAATGCTGATTTGAAGTTAAATTTCACGAAGGAGAAGCAAAAATAATTATTATTAGAAATTGAAAAGTATGAATGTTACTTGAAAGTATAACTAAGATTTGATAACATTAAACAGCTTCAGCAATATTTTAGATTAACAAAACATATTGTGAAATGATCATATTTAAAAGAAAGAAAGATAAAAGAATAGTGTAAGTTTTAATTAATTGAAAACAGGTAAAAATGACTAAAATATAAAAGTTTTCACAACACATAATTAAAGTCTTACTTTATACTTATTTATTTTGTTAGTTTCATTTTTTTTTTCTTTTGCTACAAAATAAGTACACAATTCATTATTATTGTTATGTACACAAATGGAATTAAAAAGATAGTTAAACTTTGAAAATAAAATCCTGAAATATGGTCTTAAACATGTGATTTATTTCTGAACTGCTAACATATGTTTAAATAACATCATGTGACAAAGGAGGATAAAGGGTATGGTGAAGTATGGACTCAGTGACAAAGGGGAGGGGGGGAGTGAGGCAAAAATATTGAACGAAAAAACTGACATTGTTGCTTTTCACATAAATGCTGTTAGAAAAATTTTAAATGCATGAATTCATAAATATATATATATTTTTTTTTAATAATTCCACCATAATAAATATGAGGAAAGGTAAAATAAAATGCTACTTATGTTTTATATCAATTTTTCTCTGATTTTTAACAGTATGAGAATGCAGATAGAAATAAGCTCTAAAAGCACCAACTTTATAAAAAAATCAACAGGATTTGCAACACACAGTAGGTAACAGTATAACACAATAAAAAAAAAACATAAGAAAATATAAATATATATTGAAGAGTTTTTGAATAAATATAAACTACTTACATTTTTATGATTCACTAATTTCATAAGTTTGAATTCTCTATACGCCCTCTTTGCGTGAGTAACATTTTGAAAAGGTCGACTAAGTTTTTTAATAGCGACATTCTGTTCCGTTACAGTATCAAAAGCAGCACTAAAGTAAGAGAAAAAAACAGTAATGAAAATATATTCCAATGAAATTTCAGATAAGATAGACTCGTATTTGCAAAATTTGAACATCAATTACATTAAAACACACTCTAGTTTATGATAACTCTAGTTTTGTAATTAAAACATCAAAATATATTTTAGAACATGGAAAAATCATTAAATAATTATTTCATTTTATCAGTTAAAGATATTAGAAGAGTTGTTGAGGAAATTGTAATCATAGTTTTTAACAAAAATTGATAAAATGCCATGTTCTCCATTGAAAGTGTTACATGAAATTAAAAAAATAAAGCAAATACAAAAATTGAAAAGAAGAGACTTATTAAAAGACATAATCTATCTACTGGGTTGTTCGATAATTAATGTCGTTTTTTTTCATGTGTTTCGAATTGAATTTTTTTATATTAACAACAAACATTAATCAATGATATATTGACCATTCTGTTGGATTACCTTTTGCCACCTTTTGGTAAGTTGAAAAATTTCACATTCGAAGAAGCTTCGGTTTTTAGAAGCGAAGAACTGGTCCAACTCATTCTTAATAGCCTGATCGTAATCGAAAGTTTTACCATTCAAATGGTTTTGAAGGGAATGAAACAAATGGTAATCCAATGGTGCTAAGTCAGGGCTATAGGGTGGATGTGGCATCAGTTCCCAATTCAGCTTCATTAATTTTTGACAGGTTATCAAAGATGTGGCATTATCATGATAATGATGGGGCTGGCATTATCATGATGAAACATAACCCTTTTGCGATTGGTCAGTTCAGGGGGGTTTTTCTTGATTTCGTCGTTCAATTTCGATAGTTGACAGTAGACATTTAAATCAATAGTTTTATTCCTTGGAAACAGCTCAAAGTAGACTATACCCTTGCAATCCCACCACGCAGAAAGCATAATCTTCTTTTGGTTATATTGGTTTTGGATGTCGATTGTAGGGGTTCACCTTGTTTGGTCCATGATCGTTTTCGGACTACGTTATCGTAAACAATCCACTTTTCATCACCCATTATGATTCTTTTCAGAAATAGGTCGTTTTTGTTACGATTCAGCAAAGATTTGCATATGTTAATGTGCTTGGTGAGGTGGATTTCCCTTAATTCGGGAGGAACCCAAACATCCAGTTTGTTTACGTAACCAAGCTGTTGTAAATGCAAGTAAATGGTTGAATTCGATGATATGTCGAGCTTTTCTGCTATCTCTCGAGTTGTCGTACGCCGGTTAGCTTCGATTAATCCCTTTATTTTATCAGGGTTCCCACTCAATCTCAGAAAAAAAACTCCCTGACTTTTCCAGGTAAATTTCAATGAAAATCCATACCATATTTTATCTATACTACGAAATTTTTCATCAGAAAATTTGGATTCTTTTATTTGCTATGCCAAGTATTAGATTTTTTGTGTAAAATAAATATCATAATATGAGGAAGGAAGCATTTCAGTATATCTAAAATGTAAAATTTTTTCAACAAATAACTGTAATAGATGTTATAATTATTTAACTCGAATCTCAATAACTGAGTATTTTAAGACTGGTTTTTTTCTAGGTATAATAAAGGAATTTTCCAGGTTTTTGTAAGAAAATTGCAACTTTCCCTGACTATTCCCTGATTTTTGGAGTTGAAATAAAATTCCCTGACAATTCCAGGTTTTCCCTGTTCTCCCTGACCAGTGGGAACCCTGTTTTATTGTCATCAGTAGTGGTTGGACGACCAGTATGTGGTGCATCTTTCACATTAAAATTTCCAGCACGAAAGCGAGCAAACCAACGCTGACACAGTCGTTCAGTATGGCAGTCCTCACCATAAACTTCACACAATTTTTTCCGAGCTTGCACCGCATTTTTGCCCTTTCGGAAGTAAAACAATAAAATATGTTGATAATGCTCTCTTTGAGTGTCCATTTTCAACTAAATTTTTAACCAACTTGTTGCTTGCTAATGACGCTCTGGTTTTGACTAAAGAAAGTCTAAAGTCAAATCCTTAAAATAGTATACAATAATAATAAGCTACGCGATCACTACTACATTAAATATGCCATTCAAGTCATCTATGAGAAAGAAACGACATTAATTATTGAACAACCCGATAGTTTTGCTGTCCTAAACTCACCTTTTATGACCAAAATAAACAAAAAACCAAATTGTTAACAAATAAAAAAGTAAATAGTAATCTCAATTTCATAGTGTTTGCTGAAATACTGGTGACTACCAATCAGATTATGTTGTAGTTTAGAAATTCTTTAACAAGGGTTATGAAACAGTCAAAGTAAGTATAAAAGAAGTCTTTTAAACTTTTAAAATTCAAAGTTTTACTCTATTTTCAGGAGCTTTCTCTAACTATTTAACATTCAAGTTGTTTTTTTCCTTACTTTATTTGAAACCTATGTCAAATTATATAAAAAATGTTATTTAAAAATTATTTTACTTAAAAATAAAAAAAAATAAATAAAGGATTTATAGAATGGAAGGTTTAAAAATACCCACCATACAATCCCTTGCGCACCAGATCCTATGGGTTTCAGATTCTGGTAACGCTTTAGGATTGTAAATTTCGTATCACCCACTTCAACGGTGTAAAATACAGAGGGCAGTTTGCTCATGGTGGAAATATACAACAGAAGTTCATCAGCACTTATCTTCTTCGCATTCCTCAAGTTGCACACAAGAATTCACAGATCGAATTGTAAAAGTTACATTGTAGATTAAATAGAATGGTTTCACTAAAAGAATAAAATTTAGCATGAAGCAATATCAAACAAGTATTAGTGAAATTGTTAAAAAGTGAAATTGTTCATTTTTTTAAAAAAACTAATATTAAAATATTCATTTTTTTTTTCAATTAATTTTTAAAAGAAAAAAAATTTGAAAACCATGTTTTCTATTTCATCACGCAGATGAATTAGGAAAGAAGGTAATAGTACCCACATATCTGGCAATCTCACATATACAGTAGAGAACCGATTATCCGGAACGATCGGGACTATCGCTATTTCGGATAACTGATTTTTCCGGTTTTCTGAATTGCTACAAAAAGCCTTTTTTTTAGTGTTAAATCCAACTAAAAAAAATATATATATTTGGAAATAATCTTAAAAATAAGAAAAAACGATGAGGTAATGCACTAATGATTATTTCTGAAATGATGATAAGGTAAACATCTTTAAAAAAAGAAAGAAAAATCCTAAAATCTTATGAGGAAAAAAAAAATGTTTTTTTAATTGCGGGCGATTTATTGAATTTCATTCCGGTTTTTTGGTTTTTCGGTTTTCTGATTTCCGGATAACGGGTTCTGTACTGTATATACATACAGAGAAAAAACACAATTTAAAGAAAGGTTAGCATTTCATATGAAAGAAACCTATTTCTGTCAGAACATTGGAAAAACAGCACAAAATGGTTGAAGAAGCTGGGTGAAATAGAAGAAACTAAAAAAAATTAATACAAATGTTCAAAAGTATTCTAAGAATATTTTTAATTTAAAGAAATTAAATTTAAAATAACTATCAACAACTCACACGATTATATCCCCAAAAAGGAGCGCTCTAATATTGTATCAATGTAGCAAAGTAAAATATATCAACACAATAGTGTGGATAGTGAGGAACACAAAAAATATATATATACAGTGGATTTGCGATAACTCGAATCTGATAAGGCTGACGAAAAACTTCGACATATCGGAAGTTCGACTTACCATTAGTTTCGGCTTTGGACTTTCAAAATATTGTTGGATTATTTAATTAATGCTTATTAATTACAAATCTTCTAATTGCTTACAATATTTAAGATAATTTTTCTGACAAGCCATTTACGATAAGACTGTTTGAAGCACTTTATGATACCCTGGTCCATCGGCTACAATTTTGCTGTTGTGTTTGGTGGGAGAAACTGCAAGTTTACTGCTTTCAAATTAGGTAGATCACTATGTGCTGTGCATTTATCCATAAAAAGTATCACTTTTCTTTTTTTGGCGAAGAATTTCTGATCCAATTTTTCTACATAGTCTTCAAATAAAACTGATGTCATCCAAAACTTTTTGCTAGACTTGTAATCCAAAGGATACGTATTTACATTCTTGAAACATCGGGGATTTCGGTTTTTTCCGATAACAAGTAAGGGCAAATTCTCTGTCCCAGACGCATTTCCTCCAACTAGGACAGTCAAACGTTCCTTGCTCATTTTACCCCTTGAGCAGTTTTCATCCTTAAACATCATAGTCTTATTTGGAAGATGTTTAAAAAATAAACCCATTTCATCAATATTGAAAACATCATTTTCACTGTATCATTGAAGTAAATTTGGTAACGTTTCATTTAACCACTGTTCACATACTTCAAGAGGGACAGCTTTAGCTTCTCCATGAAGAGTGCAAAAGACATTGTGTGTGTGTTGCAAAGGAAGGGGCAAGATATCAGCTCGTAGGCTTTTTTTCTTGCTTTGAAAGATCCAAACAAAATCGAGTTAAAGGGAGTAAAATTCGAGTAATCGAAAATAACTAACATGAAATTGAAGATAAAAGGGTCGGGACCTCATAAAAAAATCGAGTTATAGTAATATTCGAGTTATCGTACTTCGAGTTATAGCGAATAGACTGTATTTATATATAACACATTAAGTAAAAAATATAAATGAAATAAAACATATCAAGCAAAAAACAGAAAATAAAACATAAAGAAAATACAGGACAAAACATAAATTGTACTCTACCCTATGGCAAAATTTTTTCGGGATTTCTGCGAAAAACCTCTTTAGCACTAATATCTTTCTGCAAGATAGTACTTTTAATAATAACAAATATACACTATGTTACTAATTTAAAGTAATAAAAGAGTTGCGCTTATTTTTTTAATTGAATATGTTATTCTAATATCATGAGCGATATTCTTGCATTTTATAGGGGCAGTCTTGCATTTTATATGTTATCACATTAAAAAATGCGGAATACACTAAGTACCAAAAAAAAATTATCAAGGACAAAATCACTCTTCAAAAAGAGGTTACTAAATACATGTTTTGTTTCGAGATTCAGTTTTTGTATTAAATAAAATCATGTTAAAAATAGATGTTAAAAACAATAGCAATAACTGCCAAATAAACCGATAGTCATTGCATAAAAAATTAGAAATTAAAATGTGTGAACCAAATTGTGTAATGTGATATTTAAAGCCACATGAAAATCTATATCAACAATGGCAAAACCATAATTGAAACACTAAGTATTAAAATAAATATCATATTTACAATATGTTCAGATAGAGTATGCATCAATAAATTTTTCATTCAAAAAAAGTTTGAGAATCGATAAGTACTTTAAATAATTGATTAGAAATTATTTGTATGTAATTGTAAAACATCCACATTTTAATTTAATCTTTCCATTATAAATTACACTATCATCTATCAACCTTACCTTCAAAGCAATGTATGTTTAAAAATAAAATTTAATTTTAGCAAGAATTTTTATTTAGGGTCGATATTCAAATTTGTTGACACAAGATTTATGATTTGATTAACAGATACATAATAACAAAATATTAATCCTATTTATAAGATTATTTAAGTTTAAGATTTTTATATCAATAAATCGCACCTACATGTTTCATGAAGGATAAAAAATGTATATATAATCTCTCTGAAAACACATAAAAAAAAATAATTGCATTTAGGAATCAGACAAATTATAAAAAAATGCTTATTACATTGTATATAAAAGAAAAACAACGATGGCATTAGCTTAAATCAAACGATTGCAATATTAAATAAGCTGTTTATAACTGGAAAGTGGAAAAAAAAATTTAAAGAAATATATTAAAAATTTGAATATAAAATATCTTCCAACAAATAAAATTTACAAACAGCAGTTGTTAGATCAATACAATATCGATAGGAAATACTTGCTTATTAACTAAAATAAAAGGTTAAAAAATATTTCGTAAATTAAATTAGGATGTTAAATATTTTCTTCTTTTGATAAAATTAGGATTATTTGCTATTGCTTAAAATATATATAAAACAGAAACATCTCCAGACAAACTCTATTGGTTGATCTTTCTAGAAAAATCAAATAAAAAGAACATTTAAAACATTATTTTTACTGTTTATAACTAGATCGATCGGTGATGTTTTGATTTGTTTTCAGGATGTTTTGCTGAAACTCAAACTATCAAAAGCGTAATTACCAACTTGATCGGGAATTTGAAAGCATTAAAAAGGGAGTCAAAACATAATAATTTAATTAAAAGATATTATTACCCATGAAGTGGGCACGATTTTATTAAACAGTTGAAGCTTAATATTTGATTACTGTTCCAAAACATTCAGCATCTCTTCACCTGAACGCCATGAGCAGAATTTATCCCAGTTTACGTAAAAAAAAAAAGTAAAAAGAAAAGCGAAATGGCAACATATTGCAATAGGCATTGATGACGTCAATTGCACCAAGAGCACAATTCATTTCGATTAGTTTGATTTCAAAAGAAAAATGAATGCATTTGGAAAAATGTTTTATTAATTTATTTTCCTCAACTTTTAGTGTAAAAATGCTTTTCAAGTATAGATAATAAATCATTTCTGGCAAAACATTCTATTAATGCAACATAAAAATGATTAACAGTCTGCATTTATTTAAAACCTCTCCCTCAGTTTATTCAGTTCTTCGTTCATTAAGTGAAAAAAAAAGAAATGATAGAAAACCATTTACAAGGTACGTTCATACTGTTTGGTTATTGCACGTACCGTTCTCACTGCACTTAATATTTTGATCACGCACATGCGTAAACGAATCACAGGTCGACATTGGTCCTCTTTAAATGTTAAATTGTTCTTCCGCTCGACTGGGATCATTGGTGATCGAAATGAATTACAGGTGGCGTAAAACAGAGCCCTCTACCAATGGCAACACTTCGCATGGTTTCATCCGTAGCGTGTGGAGAGTCATATGAGAAGGAAGGAACTAACTAACGTACTACAGAAACTAACGTACGTTAGTTTCTGTCATGATTTTTAACTAGATTAAAATCTTTCAAGTTAGGAAACTATATGCTACTGAATACTACATTAAACATAGTGCTGAAAGAAAGTATCATGAAAATTTTGAAAAATAATTTTTTAATATTAAATACGAAAAATATTAAGAAAAGGAAAAATATCGTCTATACAACTGAAAAGAGGAGGAAGGAGAGGGAAAGAGGAGGAGTCAGAGGCATGAATCCGGTCTTCTCAGTGCCGGATTAAGCGTACGTGAGGCTCTAGGCCATTCAAATTTTTTGGGCCGTTAGATTAATTTTTCTTTCTCGTATATTTTTTATTAATTCAAATATAAAGGTATTTATATATCTTTTCATTTAAGAAAGCATATTTAAAATTAAAATAAATAATAATAAATGATATTTTACTTTATTTTGTTAAATTAGAACTAAAAATTAGTCATAACATATATATTTGACATTGATTTTTTTTAAATCATTGTTTTTCGTATATTTTTTAAATTTAATTCCAAAAAATCTCTTTTAAGGGGGCCTCTAATCATTGGGAGCCCCAGGCCATTTCCTTGTCTGGTCTAATGGGTAATCCGGCACTGGGTCTTCTCCCCAAGTGGCGTGTAGCGTATCTACCACTACAAAATTACAACTACAATTCACTAGTATATAAGACGTGTTAACACGACTCTATGTTGGGGTACCTTTTCATAGATGAAGGTTGACATGGTCGAATACTACTATCCCCACATTGGTGACCTTCGGAAGTGATGTGAACACGCCTACCTTGACAGAAACGCACAGTTCGATATGAGCACGCCTATCTTGACAGTAGCGCCCACTTCGATCTGGAAGCGCCTACTTCGATGAATAGTCCACATTGAACAGTTGACTTGCTGCTTGTGACTGCTACATTATCCACCGCCTCGCACTGTTGCTACTCAGTTTCGTCTCGATAACGCACAACGTCGGTTTGCATACACTCGACAGCTAACGGCAACACAGGAGCGACTACGACCGTGAAGTTAATACACCTCTCACATTCAGCACTCAAAAAGTACAGNACCTCTTGCAGTGAAATTTTTATGCTAATTTATGAAAAGAAATTTGTTGACGTTTTCCCAAATTGCTACACTATCTTAAGGATTTTTTTAACTTTGCCAATCACTAGCTGTGAAGCTGAACGCTCTTTCTCCAGGATGTCATATATAGAAAACAAATATAGGACAACAATGTCGAACCATCGACTAAATCATTTATCAGTTCTTTCCATAAATTGTGATTTAACGAAGGACTTAAAATGTGCTGAACAAATAAAGGAATTTGTACCACAAAAATGCAGAAAGGTTGCCTTATAATTTATATAACATAACTACACTTAACCTGTCAATTTCTTTTGCAATAATGTTGTACAGTTGCTGTTTGTATAGACAAATAAAAATAAATAAGTAAAAAAAATTAATAAAATTATTTTATTGTCCTATTTTTTTCTATATACTTATCTACATCACTATAGAAAACAGTTTTTTTTGACAAAATTGCTATTAGGGCCCCAAAGTAGTTTCAGCCCAGGGCCCCACAAAATCCCGATCCGCCCATGGTCCACATTGAACAGTTGACTTGCTACTTGTGACTGCTACATTATCCACCTCCTCGCACTGTTGCTACTCAGTTTCGTCTCGATAACGCACAACGTCGGTTTGCATACACTCGACTGCTAACGGCAACACAGGACCGTGAAGTTAATACACCTCTCACATTCAGCACTCAGAAAGTACGGTGATCTTAATACAGCTCTCCCGTCTTCTTACAAAACAGCAATGAATCAACTAGTGGTATCCGTTCATCGAATTCTATCACAGATATAATTCTGGTGGGGGAGTTGTTACGTTTTGAAATAAGAATTGGATAGGTTTTGTATAATGGAGAGTTGGGTGAAAGCGTTTTTATTTGTCTCCAAATAACTTTTGACTTATACAATGGAATTCGAGTTTGTGTTTTAGAAATATGTTGAAATTTTGTATTTTCTTTTAAGAATTTTTGTTTAATAAAATTTAGGAGTGGAAGAAGTGGGGTACATTTCTTGCCGTACTCAACAGGAGTACTGTAGCGTATCTACCATTACAACTACAATTCACTAGTATGTAAGACGCGTTAACACGATTCTATGATGGGGTACCTTTTCATAGATGAAGGTTGACATTGTCGATAACTACTCTCCCCACATGGCGTATTCCAGTGTTGCTATTCGTGATCGCAACGCTTGAGTACGCCCTCTGGCGGGAGCCTGAAAATATCCGCATGAGTTCTATCATAACCATTGCCAAAGACGTTCGCCATTTTCTTAGTAGCAAATAAGAAGCAAAATTTCCCTAAGGGAAAGGCAGAAGAACTTGAGAAAACTAACCAGAACATGCCAAGCATTGAAGTCCCGCAGTGGACTGATCGTTAAGACACGGTTCCCAGCAGATCACCAAAGTCAAGCATCACTGGCTACGGTCAGTGTGCAGGTGGGTGACCACTTGGATCAGTCTGCGTAGGGACCGAGGGTGTGCGGTATTGGTCCTCGTTAAACTGTGCTACCGTAAAGTGCCTGACTTCGCGCGCAGGTCGTCGGGCTACCGAAGCGGGGGTGCCATCCCCTCCGCAGAGGATCAAAATTGTGATGGCATGTTTTCGGATCATCCTCCGGGATGTTTCCCAGACCGTCGCCAATAGCCCATTGTGACGTAAATTAACAACAACAACAAACATTGAAACGCCAAGCATTTGAGAAACAATTTCTGAATAATTTTTACCTCTCTATTATCAACAAGTTTCCAACTTTGGGATCGCATACTGTTACAGATGTGTGTACTACGATAAAATACATTTTTTTTGGTCGTCAATTCATTACAAATTAAACAGAAGACAACATTGCTTTCTTCATTCCAATGGATAAATGTGAATTTAGAATATACAGAACTGCAATAGTTATAGAATATCCTTCTTCTTTATAGAATAGTATATATTTCTGTATCTATATAATTCGGAAAACAACAATAAAGATTCATCCGAATTACGTAAAATATAGTATCACTAGGAGGCTTCGCCCCCTGCTCGCTGATGGTGCTCGCCAACCCCCGGAACTGCTTTCGCAGTTCATTTCCGATGCTCGCTTTACTCGCTCATTGGATACGTTCTTAACGTCTAGCTTTTGTATACTTTTTTGAACACTGAAGTTCCGAAAACTTTTCACTGTAGAAAATTCTAAACCTGTACATTTCAATATTAATTTGAAATTGCAAACAGTTCACATATTTTTCTTAATCACACTATTCTAAATTTCAGTTGTTGAGAAAAGTAACTGTTGTAAGTTTTGTTTTAAAGTCTTTCCCAC